GAGTGGTGGCAGTAAAAATGTGTGTGTGCAAGGGATGCCTAGACTTTTAAGGTAGAGGCAACAGATTTTCCTGATGAACTGATGGCTGCAGATGTGAGAAAGAGGTGGCAAGGATGAATCCAAAATATCTGCCCATGAAAACTGGAAGGATGTGGAAGGCTGCGGGGGAGCACATCTTATGGAGGATGCAGAGGTTCCTTGGAGCCTGCTGAGACCAAAATAAAGACAAGATGTAAAAGAGGGAAAGACATATAAAAAAGGAAGTCTTTGAAAGAGTTGTTCACAGGGGGAAAGAAAGGTCTCTTCAACAGATCGTGCTGGACAAACCTAATTTCCACATGCAGAAGAATGAAGCTAGATGCCTGTCTCACATCATATACAAAAACTTATTCAAACTGGATGACCTACATATGAGAGCTAAAACCATAAAAATATTGTTTATAATGGCCCCAAAATGAGAGCTTCCCAAACATCTCAGAGAACTGTTAAAATAATATATTCCTACAAGAAAACATTACTGAGCAATTAAATAAACAGCCCATTAAGAGTCTTTCTGACATACATTTAACCTAAAAGAAAGGACAAAAAAGTACATATGATTCTATTTGTTTACAACATAGACCATCAAAAGCAAAATATATGTATTTAGGTATGCTGATGTAGGTGATAAAAATATAAAGAAAAACAAAGAAACGATCATAAATGCTGAGATACTGATTACATCAAGAGGACAGAGTGAAGATGGTGACTGAAAACCCACTCATGGTGTTCATTTTATGTTTCACTCAACTGTAAGTTTATTATAAATTTTTCTGCATGTATGTCAAAAACATTTATTAAATTTAGAAATGGATAGAAACACGCACAATCTAAAAACGAGCATACACAAAACATGTGCATCAAAGAACATACATACTGAAAACTTCAACACTTTCCCAGCAGAACCAGGTAAAAAATGACGCTCATTATTTCATTCCTATTCAACATCATGCTAGAGATTGTTGATGGTATGTACCAAAAAAGAAAAACGGTAAAGCAATAAAATGTTTAAGGTTGGTGGGGTTGGGGTTGGAAGGAGACCCACCCCAATCCATGTTACAGGTTAAACAATTATATATGTAGCGCTTCCAAAAGATGGCACAGACGATTATAGGATTGACAGATTTAAGCAAGTATTTGGATAACAAAATATCAAAGTAAGATTATTCTATGTATTTCATTTACAGACACCAGAATCAATGAGTAGAGAAATTAATTTCAAAAAGATAACATATATTTTAGTAAAAATAAGATACCAAAAAGGAGTGTAATTAATAATGGTGCAATGGTTAGCACTCGGCTTCTAACTGAAGGCCAGTGGTTTGAAACATCAGCGGCTCTGTGGGAGAAATGACCTGGCAATCAGCTCCTGTAAACATCACAGCCTAGGAAACCCTCTGAGGCAGTTCTACTATGTCATACGGGGTCGCTATGAGTCAGAATGAGTCAATGGCACACAACAACAATGAAAAAATTATGAAACATTATTAACTGACATCCAAATGAACTGAAATAAAAGAGCATGCTCTTAGAAAACTCTTCACAAATATTAATAGATCATTACTTCCATAACATTCTAACCAATTTTATTTTTTATACAGTAAAATGTAAGAAACCCAAAACCCGTGTAAGGGTGGAAACTTGTCAGAGAAGGAAAAAAATATTTTCCACTAAAACAAGAAATAGAAAAGTGGTGACTGAACCTTGTCACAGCTGGAAACTTGCAAGACTGGGAAAAACAAAGCAGTCCCGTTGAGTTCCAACTCTCACAGTTTTCATTGTATCATTTCACACACACACACACACACACACACACACACACACACACACACACACA